GGCGCGAGCGCCTGAGCCGAGAGCAGGTGCGCCAGGTGGAGGCCGCCTGCGCTCCGGCCATGCGTCTGCTGGCCTACCCTCGCATCGTAGAGGAGGGCGACGCGGAGCCGCCCATGGGAGGGGAGACACCACAGGAGGCTGCGCTCGATGGCGCCACGTAATCCCTCATGCCCACTCTGGGCCGAATCCCGGTAAGGTGACCCCAGGCAAGGCAGAGTATAGGAAAGGTCTTCTGGGAGCCTGAAACGGCCCTCGGGAGTAGTTGGAGAGGGGGCAGTTTGGTCTGGAATCCCAGGCTGTCAGACCAGGTCCTGATTCACCAGGTTCTCCAGCTGAGACCCTGAGACAAAAGAGGTTGTTTAAGTGTAGCTTGTAGCTGAGGCAGAGAGACTCTAGGTCTTCCCACTCCCACTCCCCTTTATGAAGTGGGAAATAGCAAAGATCCGAATACAGTAGAGAAAGTCTGAAATAGTCAAAATGGAAGTTTTGCTGTGACGAGTATATAGGATTTAGGGAACGCTTTGAGGTTGATGGTTATGAAGCTATCTTCACGCCAGTTTGTCCTGTGGGGCAACTTTTTATCATGTTGTTTGGCAGAGAAAACCAAGAGCAAGGTTTAATAGAAAGGTATCAACACCTTAACTCTACCTATTCCTTATCTTCCTGTTTCATATTGTTTTCTGTCTCCCTTATGCCCAGGCTATAGGGCTTTCCTCCCGAGTACCAAGCACGAGGAGGCTCTTGTAACAGTTTTTGTGTATTTGTGTGTCTCGGGCCCTGGTATAATGGGATAGAATAAAATTTGCTGTCCCCTAGCTCGTGTGTGCCCCTCTCCTTCCCTCTCTTTCCCTACCCCTCTTCCAGGGGCTGGTGTTTGTGGGATATCCGACCATATCCCTTTGTATCCGGTGACAAAGACCACGTGATCAGCTTCTGTTCGTGCCAGCAAGACCTCAGGGCTGTTTCCCCTATTCTACACCATCCATTTGAGTGATGGGACCTTAGATGGGCAGTAGCAGTTTATAAAAAGTCACTCCCTCTTTTTTTGTTCATTCTCTGTAGTATATATCTGAAGATACTAAAGTGGCATCTAAAATTGGGCTGAGGGAAGAGTTTGTTCTGCATAATGATGACCACGGGAGTCATGTTACCAGCACGGGAATGCATTTCCCTGAACTTTGTTTAAGTTGGAAGGGTGCCCCTTTCTGCACTGTGCAGACCAGAGGAGGAAAAGCAGTGCTGAGTGGGCGGAAGTGACTTAAATTTCCATTCACTATTTTATAGTGTAATTCAGCATTCCCCTGGGATGTGTTCTGGGACAAAGATTGAAGATGTTAGTGAAGACAGATTTTGTTGTTAATAGAGCTAGGGTTTCGAGTGATTTTGGAAGCTGGCTGATTTTTCTCCCAGTAATCAAGTGGTTTTGTTGATCATTTTCTGTAATTGCTAGGAAGTCTGTGTTCTTTCCTGATTTCCAGAGTGGAAGAAAGTAAAGCACAGAGTAAAGTGTCATATCGTAACAAAAACATCCTTTCGTCTGCTAAGTCTGTATTTACAGATGGAACATAACGGTCCCTAATCCTCCTTCACAGGCCTCAGGAGCTCCACCCTAGGCAAATGCTGCAGCATTTTATGGTTTTATGATAATCTCCAAAAAACTTTTGCCGCCCCCAACATTTTTACCAATATGTATTGAATGCTGGCTGGGATGAGGAAATAAAGAGAATGGAGAGAAGGGTAGAGAACATTTTACCCTCTAGGAAGTGCAAGTCTGCGCTCCTCATAGTGACTATGGGAGAAGACATCGATGTCATTGTAGAGACATCTGGGTGCAAGTTTTAAGCTCTTTCAAATTGGTGATTGAGCCCTTCCTCCCACATTGGGCTCTTCTTACTAACCAGTGGATTTATTAAAATGTTTGTATTCCTGGTTCCTAGGAAGATAATTTCATTGATCCACAAATGAGTTTTCCACAAGTTTATCACACTCTAGGAAAGGGAAAGGAAAAGAAGGGAATGGATCCCTATAGGCCTGTATGTTGTGCATTACAGTAAGCATTATACCTATATGAGTATTTGTATCAATTCAAATATGAGAAACCTGAGATTCAGAAAAGTAACTTGCCTAAAGTCTCCTTGGGCTGGTGAGGATGGAACACTGTTCAGTGTTAGATTCCAGAGCCTATTGTACATGCCCTGCCTCGCCCCGCTTGCATCCCCTGGCAGCAACCTCAGTACCCCAGCTGGCTTTTCGGGTCAGTTTGGGGTGCAAACACACTTAGCTTGATTACTTGTATGTTCCTGATGCAGTCAGTATTTGCAAGAGAAACAGACTTAATGCAGGACACACAAATTTACAAGATTAGCTATATCCACCCACAGAGTCAAATGTAGAAGAGTGCAAGAGATCTGTCTTCTAGCTAGAGATCTGGAGAATCCAGCAGAAGATCTAGAGCCCATGGCGATGTCCCATTCCAGTTCATATCAGGAGGCTGAGGAATCTGCAGTGGAAGACTGAAGGTTTTGCACTGGAAGGCCCGAAGGCCAATGCTGGAGGCTAGAGAGTCTGTGCTGGCAGGCCAAAAGCTGGTGCTAGAAGCTGAAGAATCAGTGCCAAAAGCCAGAAGACAATGCACAAGACAAGGACCAGAGCTCCTCCAAGGAAAACAACAGCCATCCTTGGTGGAGGGGAAGAATGGAGCTCCTCTGAAGAGAACAGCAAAAGCTCTACTAAGTAAAATCAGCTGAAATCCCCCCCATCCCCTTTTATATTGTTCCAACAACAGTCCTTCTTAAGCGAGTCTTCCATGCCTAAACCACACTGACTCATTTCAGCCGGACATTCCCACTCAAGCTGAAAATTAAATAGCCACCACAGTTCCCCACTATGAACAAATAAAATACCCCTGAGCTACTGACAGCACCTACAGCCGTCTTCCCCACAGGACACCTGAGCATGCATGTCCTTGGCTCAGCAGTGAAAAGAGGTTGCATGTGAAATAACCTGAGTAACTTCTGGATGGTCCATACCTGATAGCCAGAATTTATCAGAGACAGAGTAGGTGAGCTTAACTCAGGGATGACCAGGGAGTGCAGAATCCTGAGCCAAGTTATTAAGGACCCAGGCTCTTTCTTTTACATCTTCTTGGCTTTCATTCGTAGTTCATGTCCCCACTGTCAGAAGATAGTAGCCACAGCTCTAAGCATCACACCCACATCCAACTACATAGGGTTGTTAAAATGCAGAAAAGAAGAAAGATGGTTACTGGATAAGGGGTGGAGAGATATTCTGTCATGAAATGCTCTTTCCTTTAAACTCCTTAAAACAACTTTTTCCAGCACCCTCTACCCCAGCTGATTTCCTTTCATGACTCATTGGCTAGAACTGGGTCACATGGCCTTCCCTAGCCAATAATTGGCAAAAGGAAATGGGAGCATCCTGATTGGTTTAGACCAGTAGTTTTCAGCCCTTGGCTAAAAATTATACCATTGTCTCTTCTACACTAACCTTGACCTTATCCTGGGGAATATGTTCTCAGACCCCTAGTGGATGCCTAAAAACCACAGATAGTACCAAATCCTATATATATATGTATACGTATATATGTGTGTGTGTGTGTGTGTGTGTGTATTCTTTTATACACACATACACATACCTATGATAAAGTTTAATTTATAAATCAGGCACAATAAAAGATGAATAACAATAAAACAAAATTAAAACAATATATTGTAATAAAGTTACATGTATATAATCCTTCTGCTGCCAGGGAGCAGGTAGTATGTACAGTGTGGATATGCTGGATGAAGGGATGATTTACAGGCCAGGAAGGATGAAGCAGGACTGCATGAGAATTCATCAGAACAGCAATATAAAATGTAGCAATTATTTCTGTAGTTTTCTGTCAATATCTTTGGACTGTTTTTGGCTGAATAACTAAAACCTCAGAAAGTAAAACCATGGGTAATGGGGGAACTACTGGTGTACATTAAGCAGAGGAGCATTCTTTAAAAGAAATGGTGATACCTGAGCTCCCTGGAGCTTTTTTTTTTTTTTTTTTT